ATTGTGCCTCGCGGGCGCTTCGGTGGCGGGGGCAGCGATCGAGCGCCGCATCGGGCGCCAGGCTGTAGCTAAGTGGCTTCTAGCGCCTCCCACTTCATCCCCAGGCGGAGGCCGGGGCGGGCGGCCAGCACGGCAGGGAGCGGAGCCGGGTGCGCAGCGGGCCTGGTGCACTTGCACCCCCCGAACCCCCCCACCCTCCGCCGCACCCGGCCGCTCGCACCAGAGTAGCTGGGAAATGTAGTTCCCTCCTCGCATCTCGCTGGTCTCCACAGCGACGCGGCCGTCGCCACCCGGGGACTGCAGACCCTAGGAAGGAAAAGCACTTAGGAGGGGTGAGGGACACCACCTTGCACGGTCGCAGCAGCGGGAATTATCCCCCAGCGACCACAAAGAACAGCATTGTTGTTCACGAGTTAGTTTTGCTTGAGTTACCAAGCGACCATACCCTGCGTGTATGGTGCATGGCAAGCCAGTCGTTCCACAGATATGAACTGAGGGCCTACTATGTGCCAGGTGGTTACAATGATAAAGAACCTGAGTGTGAGTCACCCGCTCTCAGACGCAATTAAGAAAGGCTGTTTTGGTGAGACTTTGAGCAAAGGGTTAAATGCTTTTGTTTTCTGTATTTTGCAGTCCAGGTGTGTCTGTGCACCGTGAGTGTGCAGTACTGTTGGCAACCAGAAGAGAGGCTTGAGTTTCTGGGACTAGAATTACAGAAAGTCCTGTCTGTTCTGGGAATCCAACCCATGTTCCTCTGGAGGAACAGCCAGTATTTTTAACCCCTGAGCCATGTCTCCATCCGCAGGCCATTTTTTTTTAAATGGCTTTTAACTTCATTTTATTTTTGAATACCTAGAGGAGGGCTGTGAACCCAATTCCAGGAGAATCAGAAGACACCTGCCAAAGCGCTAGGCAGACATGTGAAGTGTGAATAAGCTGGATTCTCGGTGGTTTGTTTGCCTCCTCCAATACCTGCCAGCCTCAACCGCGTACAGAAGACAGACAGGGGAACTGACTTTCTCAGGCTGTCCTACCCCACCCACCTCACTGCAAATGTTAGAGACTCACAGGGATAAAAATAGTAATGATTGTTTACATAATTAGCACTTGCACGTTACAGATTTTGAGATTCACATACACTAGCATTACAGCCTCAGGTCAAAAATCTGAACAGCAGAAAAGAGGAAATTAAGAATTAGATCAAGTAGGCTTCTTCCCAGGGATGGTTCAACATATGTAAGTCAGTAATAATTGTAATCCACCATATAAACAAACTGAAAGACAAAAAAACACACATGGTCATCTCATCAGATGCAGAAAAGACCTTTGACAAAATCCTACATCTTTTTGTGGTAAGAGTTCTGGAGAGATTAGGGATACAAAGGACATATCTAAACATAATAAAGGCAGTTTATGGCAAGCCATAATCAACATCAAATTAAATGGACAGAAACTCAAAGCAATTCCACTAAACTCAGGAACAAGACAAGACTGTCCACTCTCTCCATACTTGAAGTCTTAACTAGGGCAACAGGCATCTGAAGGAAATCAGGGGGATACAAATTGGAAAGGAAAAAGTCAAAGTATCTTTATTTGCCCATAATATGATAGTATACATAAGTGACTCTAAGAATTCCACCAGAGAACTCCTACAGATAATAAACACTTTCCCCAAAGTAGCAGGACACAAAATTAACTCACAAAAATCGGTAGCCATATCATATACAAACATCAAACTGGCTGAGAAAGAAATCAGGGAAACAATACTTTTCAAAATAACATCAAATAATAGAAAATATCTTGGAGTAACTCTAACCAAGCATGCGAAAGAAAGACTTGAATAATAAAAACATTACATCTTTGAAGAAAGAAATTGAGGAAGATATCAGAAGTTGGAAAGATATCCCATGCTCATGGATTAATAGGATTAATATAGTAAAAATGGCCATCCTACCAAAAGCAATCTACAGATCAACCCCCACCAAAATTCTTCACAGATCTTGAAGGGAAAATCTCCAGGTTCATAAGGAAACATTAAAAAAAAATCAGGATATCAAAATTGCATAACCAAACAATTGCAGGAGATATAACCATCTCTGACCTTGAATTGTACTACAGAGCTATAGTAATATATATAGTCTGTTTTGGGCACAAAAACAGACACGTTAATGAATGAAATCAAACTGAAGACCCACACATAAATAAATGTACACACCTATGAACACCTGATTTTTTTAAAACTAATAAGCCAGAAATACACACTGGAAAAAAAGGCAACATCTTCAACAAATGGTGTTGGTCAAATTGGATGTCATATTTTTGAGAACATGTCATGAAGCATACTGGAATTTCAAAAATGTGTAAGCCTTCAAATCAATAAGATGGTTAAGAATCTTATCTAGCATGCAGTTGTCTACAGCTTGAGCAGGATTTCAAGAGTCTATTAAACCTTAATACACAACATTCTGTAATGACTACAGTAAAGGATAATTAGAGCCTGACGCATGAGAATGTGTTTTGTGTTCTCCCACAGTGTCTTGAGTCCCATTCCTAATCTGGTTCTCTAAGCTAAAGGAACGGGTTGTGTAAGCGTTATAATTATGACATTGCTCTAAACAGAGTACTTACTTCTCACTTTTTTTAGCATGTTTGGAATATATTAAATAATTTCAAAAGTTAAACATATCAGTTTGAGGTAACAAAACTTTAAATACTTTTTTAAGGTCTGTCTAAGGTTGTGTTGCTACAGCAATAAAAGCATAGACTGGGTAACTTAAGTATCAAACATTTAAGGAACTGAGATGTAACAATCCTAGATCTGACTGTTAGCACTACAAAGCAAAACACAGTAACAATGAAAATTTGTCACAGTGCTGGAAGTCAGAAGAAGGAGCTGCAGGACCTGGTGTCAGGTAAGGGCTACTTTCTGCCCCATGGACAGCAGTCACCTTGTCCCTGTCTTTATGAGACACAAATAGAGCAATCCTGTTCTCCCCAACCATCTCTTGCTCCCTTTTGTAATGCAGACATGAATCCAACCATGGAGGTTTCACCTTCATGACCTGATTGTTTCTCAAGGTCCCATCTTCAAATACCATCATAGTGGGGCTTCAATATATTCATTTTGGAGTGATACAATCAGTTATTAGTAGAGGTTAAGATATCTCTCCCATCAGATTTCTAAGTCTGAATTGCTAGACACTTGACATATATGAGAAAACACTAAGAAATGACAAATTATGTTTTCATTAATATATATACAAATTTAAACTTTTGTGTGTATGTGTGTACATCATGGGCACATGTGGAAGCCTGACTTTGAACTTCTGCTCTTCCTGTCTCCCTCTCCTGGGGTTATTATAGGTCATTGTACCCCATCTCTTCATATATGTTTGAATAGAGAGGCCCCTAAGAGAAAAAACAAAGTTTTTGTTGTTTAAAATGTTCATAAACTCATAAGTATATGTGTTTAAAGATGACCACTTGGGATTGTAGTTCATCAGGGTTCTCATCCCTGGAGAAGATTGATTCTCCTCCTCTTAACGGTCAATAGTTGCCTATAGCCTTCACCTGGGGAAGACTCAGTGGACTCAGGAGATTGTACGTGTGTGTGTGTGTGTGTGTGTGAGAGAGAGAGAGAGAGAGAGAGAGAGAGAGAGAGATAATAATAATTAAAGATGAAAACGTCATGAATTTAAGGGGACACATAGGAGGAAATGGAATGGGGAGAGAGTTGGTTAGAAATTACAATCATAGAGAATTTAGACAACAATGAGGGCACTAAGAGAGACATACATAGATCTAATCTACATGGGAAGTAGAAAAAGACAAGATCTGAGTAACCTGGGAACATTAGGGAGCTTGGGAGAGGGTTTAAAGGGAGGGGAAAGGCAGGGAGGGGAGCAGAGAAAATTGTAGAGCTCAATAAAAATAAAAAAAAAATCAAAGAAAGCAAAATAATCAAAAAATAAATGTTTTAAATATAGTACTCATGTAAGAAATTCTCAAAAATTATTTAAAATAAAATGACAAAAATTTATAAACTTTTGTCTTATTTGAAATATGAGTGAACATTATGAGAAAAGAGAAACACATAAATATTCATTTGTATTTAAAAAAGAAAACCTAAAATGGTACAGCCTGATTTCCAAGCCAGAAACAGAAAAATAAAGTGTTTTTGTATCAGAGAATGTTTATTTTCTGTGTGTCTCAGAACAAGCAGCAACAATTGAATATACCACAATAGTATGAAGATCATATACTTAATCAAATATATTCATATTATATTAATTGTATTTAATTATATTAATTAATTATAATATAAATAATATATGTAATCCAAATATACAGAATTTCTCAAAATGCACTTTGGAAGGGCCAGGAAGGCACTCTTCAAATCTTTCTGAATGAGGGTGTTTCTACAGTTACTTGCCTATTTCATATGTCTATCTATTATTTTAATTTATTTGCTTTTATTTTAATGTGTGTTGACTTGCATGTAAGTGTGTGTACCATGTACAAGCTTGGAGACTACAGAGGCCAGAAGAGGGCTTTGGATCATTTGGAACTGGAGTTCAGACCATCATGGCTG